ACATTAATCTGTTTTATGTGTTGCACTTCTCGTCTAAAATAAATGTTTATTATTTGTATGGCCTTGGAACGATGCGATACGCGTTGATGTTATCTCGAAATTCTGCACAATTACTAATATATTATCTATTATACCTACATATACCTTCTGAATATATTTTAGAATACATATTGTAATATATTATTACATAAATAACATGATGCGCACATCATGGCTTGCTATAAATTTCGAATAAAAAGTTAATTGACGTTTCATGGTTTTTTTTTTTTTTTTTTTCCGAGAAATATAACTATTATGGTACGCGTTACGAAATAATGTTAATTTCGTGATTAAAAATTTTGATAATTTCGCGTTTAACAGAACGGCTTTGGATATTGAAAAACAATAATACGATCGTACCGTAATTTGGTATAAAATGTATACGTACCAATAATGTTTCGATATTTCCAAATAGAAAGAAAAAATAGACTATAAAAAAAAAAAAAAAAAAAAACGTCAACGTCGCAGATATTTTGAATGAATTATTAATAAACAACAATAATGAAAAAAATGAAATCACCGCGGGATTATTGTAAAAAAGAATTCTCGGACGTCCCGCAGTTTTAAACAGTAATATCTATTCTGCAATTGTGAACAGTAATGTTTGTATAAAATGTGCTTTCATTAACGGTAGATTTCTATTTCTTTTTTTTTTCTTTTTTCTATTCAGCGTAATTAATTTATCAACCTTTTTTCCAGAGCGTTTAAATTATTTATTAAATACGATTTACACGGTATACCGCGGCCGCGGTCGATAGAGTCGTAAAAGATATCGAATGCATCATTTATCACTAGTAAATTGCACTGTACACTAGTATTGGCGGATTCCGCGAACAAATTTGTTATCTGCGTGCATTGAATGCGTTTTAGATTGAGTGCGTAACGTCGAAACTGTTATAGTAGCTCTGCTAAAACGTGTGGGTTTTTTTTTTTTTTTTTTTTTTTCGAAAAACGCCATTTTGGTCGGGCCGATTCTTTCACGCGACACATGAAAAGATGCGGAATTATCGCCCGACGATAGTTTGTTCGAAAAATATCCCGAAATTCACAACGCTTTCTCCGAAATATTGTTGTTTATAATTAGTTTTATACGAGAGAACATCTTTTGAAATTCTCATTAATATTCGAGGTAATTCGCTGCTTACAGATATACATTAAATTTCCGCCTGTATCCTACATTCTCAACTTCTCATCTACAAAAGTGGCTGCACCGACGTGCGAAGTACGTCCGTCCTTTTTGCATATCGTTCCTCAAAAGGTTCTTAGAAGAATTTTACGCCCGATGTTATTTCATTGGATACATTTTTCTAAATTTTCTATGCTTTCAACAAACGGAGATATTTATTTTCGTTGATTTCTGGTTTATTTACCTTATGGCTACAGGGTACATGATGACCGTACGCCTGAACAGTTACCCAAGCACTTTTCAACACAGTTTTTTACTGAAATTTTAATTTATCGAATGTCTGTTTTGTCAGTAATTTACTTTCTATATCTATACTAATGTTTCAATCGTCGTATACAAAGGTGAAATTTTGAAAAATTCCATATAAATGTGTACTTAGCTGCATTGATTATAATTTATAATATTATTATTATTTATGTTACACAAAAATGAGTACATCCTCGAGATAAAAAAAAAAAAAAACTAAACATTTTGTTAAGACATAAAACGGTTATACCAATACAAATATAAAACCAATAGATATATTTGGTATTATATTTAATCTATTCCACATTCGTCACGTACACATATTTTTATTTTAAAAACCAGCTAATTAATTTCCATTTTGCTGCGAAAAAAAAAAATGGAAATTTTTTGACCATTGTATTTTTGTGTTACAGCGTAAGAGCCATTTTCTAATTTCGATGAGTGCCTATTATCTATATTTTTTTTTTTTTTTTAAACCCGACAATTTATTTTGTATATGTTTCATTTCATATTATATATTGTTTGTTTCGTTTTTTTTTTTTTGTTTTTATTCTGGGTACAACTTCAACAACTAAGGTTATTCGTTTATTTTGTTTTATATAATAGGTACCAATCGTAAAATATTTTCGAGCTTAACTTAAAATTTAGGCATATATTATATTTTAAGAATGTATATTTTAGATTCTGAATGTAGTGTTCGTTTTGTTTTTTTCCCTACGAAAAAACTTTTCCAGTTAGTAAAAATGGTCCGAGTTGTTCACACCGTAACACAAAAGATGCGGATTTCCCGACCGCTAACAATGTTTGTCTAAAAAGATTCTTTAAACATTTATTGTTAAAATATTTTCGAAAAAAAAAACAAAAAACTGACAACAATCTAACGATTGTGGTACACCGGTTTTAGTTTAGTTGATTTCCGGGTTATCTCCGTGGTCTACAAGGATTAAATCACGCGACCATAACACTATAAGTTATATAGTGTTTTACTGGTTTTTAACAATATAACTTATTGTTACCGAGCATCGCGCAGAATCGTTTTCCGATCACAGCGGTTTATCGTTGGTTTCGTTGTACGCGGTGACTGAATCACCCCGCCATATTATCGTATACGTCATGCAGTTCCCGCAAACTTTCCTGCGCCTCTTACCCAGTAGTGGCGAAATATGTCCGCATTTTTATACGGGCACCTATGTATGTATGTCATAATAATATCTACATGCTATGTGTGGCTACACGCGCGAGTAAAATGCGTATTATATTTGAATTTATCGCATATTTCGTTACAATAATAGTACACACGACACTCGCTCGTTTCGATTGTTCGATACTAATTAAAAAGAAAGTTAAAAAAAAAAAAAAACAACAACAACAACAACAACACCGATGTATCTATCTATCTATCTCTGTCTCGGGCGCGCGCGCACACATTACAATATAGACGCATGCGTCCAATTCGTATAGTCAATTCAGAAATCACAAAACTATACGGCGTGTGTGCGTGTTACAATATATTACAATAATATAATAACGACAACAACAAAGCCCATGTGCTTCAATTCACATACACGGGCGTATGTTATTATTATACCGTACAGGTATGTGTGTACAATAACGCCATTATGTATTATTACAATTCGTGATAATTTTTCAGGTCAAAAAGACGTGCGTGCGTGCGCGCGCGCGTGTGTGTGTGTGTGTGTGTGTGATGGGTGCATCGCGAGTTTTCATTGTTGTACCCCGTAAATATGTACGTACAGTGATATTACACACATATACCGTACAGGATCAGCCTTCGAATAGAAACTACTCTCAGCGTGCGACATCGGCAAAACTCAATTGACGGAGTTCGGGAGCGTATAGCGATGATTATTAGTGTTATTATTTTTATTGTACACGTATACTTTGAAATATCGCAATGCATATGTCAACTCTTTAACGAGGATCCGTACCCGCTGCAGATAACAATATCGATGCCCCGGTGTTGTACCGGCGCGCGCGTGTGCGTGATAGATACTCGTGCGGCGTTTGATCGTCTTCGGTTATTTTTTTTTTTTTTAATTTTCACGCGACGACGACGCGCGTTTTTAACGACCGTGCCGACAAAATAGTCCGCAGGGTCATTCGGAAGGACTGTACGACATTTATCTTTTGTGCGCCGGCTGTAATCATATTATGTGACACGCGTAGTATACGTAGTGTTGTATTCTTATACAACCGACACTATTACGACGTTATGTTTTCGTTACGTCTCGTTAAACCGTTGTTTTAAACAATAATATTATTATTATTATTATACGGCAAATGTTCCACGAATCCCGGGGCGGTTCGACAAAGAGCTGCGTAATGGTTTTTACGGATTTAAAAAAAATAACCCCCCCTCCCCCTTATGGCACCATAATGTAGACAAAGTATTTTTCAACGTATACCCGCCGTGCACAGCACATTTTCGTTTTTACCGCAAATACTCATCGCGATGAGAGCTTTTTTAAGAGCCAAGAGTTTTCGAAAGAAAATATAGGTACAGGGCGATTCTTTCGTCACAAAACAGCGATTTTCTCGTAGGGTTTTAAATGAAATCGATTTCTATTTTTTTTTCGTGTTTTAATCATTGTATGGAATCGGTAAAGTTTTATTTTGTTATTAATTATTATTATTTTACATTATTAATTTCGTACCCCTACTCCGTGTACCTGAAATAAATGTATAGTTTTGTTTTTAAATTAGCAACCTCCTCGTTTTTAAGCACAGATTGGAATAGAGAACGTTTTTTTTAGAAATTTTGTTACGCATGACATAAATATGATATTTACAGTTTATGAGTAATAACAGTTGGAAGTTTAGACCGGAGAAGTACGGAAGGATGATGAATTGCGTATCTATTTTTGAACGATAAATCTATAACTCTTCCCTACTCTTCCGGTCTAAACTTCAAACGGTTATAACTCATAAACGGGAAACTGGCAATTGTTTGTGCAATTTTCTGATGATACCTTGGCGACGTTTGGCGAAACAATACAACTAATGTCACAATACTCTGCTCAGAATCGTTTGTCGTCAGCGACGGTTTATCGTTGCGCACAAATGTAAATTAAATGTCGCGTATGTTATACGTATCCCGTCTTCCCAGCTCGTTTCCTAAAACAGTGGCGTGCCCAACATCGATACCTGCAGATTTTTTTCTATGCACTTTTACGATACACATATTAATATTATCCAGTGCGATCGTCCGTATTAATGTTACATTATCTTTTCGCCCTCGCCGCGCGGCGTCGATACTACCGCAGACATGTTTTGTAGCCCATACACTCGTATACATCATAAAGACAATCTCGCGATTTCGGAATAGAGAATTCGGCGAGAAAATAACCGTCGTTTCACACAGTGTCCTATTTTCGCGAGGAAATTATGGATATTTTTCCAGAGCCAATGCGGACCAATTGGATTCAATTGTTATTATTTTAATTTGAAATTAACGATAACGTTTTAAGAACATCAAAAAAATAAAATTGAAAAAAAAAAAAAAAATGTATACCGCGAAGTCGTAAATACGCCTGTTCAAATACAACTTACGTTTCTCACTGTCGTACAAAATGTAGCTATATACGCATAATATTAGTATGCAAGTATGGCCGACGCGAACGGACGATGGACAGTTTACTCGCGCGTTACCGGATCAGAATGCGGTTGACCTTTTTTTCGCTAATCGTCGGCCTTTTTGTCCCGGGCCTTAAAATGTCTAAACCGGACTCTGGTTTCGCGCGTTATTGTTAATGAGCCTATACCTGGTATGTAATATGCAGTGATAATAATACATAGGTACGCGTTATACAGTGCTCGTCGTTTCCTGCGTCGTGTGGTGCTGCGGACGGGTGAGAGAGATCGCAGGCGTTTGTTATTTCGCATATAGGTACACGAAGAAAAAAAAAAAAAAATCGCGTATATACACGCGTGTTGTACCTGCGCTATAGAAAATTATTGCGTAGAGACGGCGGTTTTTTTCGCCACCACGTATACGTACGATATTATTGTTATTATATTCTGATAATATTGTACACCCGCAGCATAGGTATTTTGTACGGAGGCCCGCGGTACACACGGTACGCGCGTGTATAATCATCACCGCGTCGTCGTCGTCGCGAGATGGAAAAAAAAGAAGAAAAAAGTTCGCGGCGAGTAATATTACTTTTTTTTATTTTTTTGCTTTTTTTTTTAAGAGAGGTTACAACCGCGTGACCGACAGAGTCGTAATAAATACGCACGCACACGCATAACGCCGTACGTACGCGTACCCATACATGCGCGGTATATTACAATATAATATACGATACGACTATAGCACCGCCGCGGTAATGTACACGGGTACGTGTGTTGCGCGTATATTATTATCGTTTTTTTTTTTTTTTTTTTTTTACCAACTCATACGCGGACGCGCTCTCCGCGGCGGCGCGCGTATTATCGTAATAATATGATAATTTTCTCGGCGGGGTGAAAAAGAAACGGCCCGAGCCAATGTTGTTATTATTATCGTTGCGCGGCCGGCCGACGGTATTTCACGACCCCGCGACGTCGGCGGCGTAAACAATGCTCGCGAACCTAATCCGTAAAGGCGCGCGCGCCGCGCGTTACGGGCGAGACGAAAAAAACGTCCCCCCGCGCCCGGGGTAACGTCGTGAAAAACCGTTTTCGCGCGCCGCCGACGATCGTTGCGCGTGCACCGCGCTGCGGCCAGTAGCCACGGCGTAACGACGGTGTTGGCGACAGGCGGCGCGGGCGTTTCGTAACAGTATCGATTTCCCGGGTGATCGTGCCGCGATTGTACTGCGCGGGGTACTGACCGCGGGATCGGAAGAGCGCGCCGCCGACGCGGCAACGTTTACCGCGCGTTATTTTCGCGTAAAGCGCGAAAAACGGCGGCGTACGACGGTTTCCGTTCGGACGTAAAATACTATTTTACGACAATACAATACGCGCGCGCGCACACACACACACACATACATTATACATTATATATATATATAGTACGGGTGTAGTATTTTTCCGCGTATTCCTCTACCCTCTCGCGTCGAAAAAGTTATGAAAAAAAAAAAAAATCTCAGAATCTAAAAGGTGGTGAGAGGGCCGGATTCGGAAACCTCCGAAATTACAGTGTCCTTTGATTCACTCGGATTTAGCCTGTTATCGGTTAAATAGAATTAGATAGTTTTGACACAGCTGGTTTTATTGCGAAGTTCTTCGGATTGCTTTGAACCTAACAGTTTGTGACGTAAATTTGTAACGCATTAGTGATTTGGAAAAGAGAATTACAATCAAAAGCAATAGCAGCGAAAAACGTTAGATAGGTGAATTTTAAACAGAAACAAAATTTCATTCCAAATTCAGTTTGAATTATACAGTGCCGAGCTCAGAAATGTGATCAAACGAACGTCTGGATTGAAAAATATTTTTAACGGATTCGTACTAATCCGTTCAACCGGGATTGACGGATTCGTTCGGCAATCCGCGAATAGATGAATTCAATCCGTCAATCCGTATATTACACACAATAATGATCAAAATCACAAAATCCGGATTGTATCTGGAGAAAAATAGCAATTACGTCTACTAATGGAAACTCAAACGCGCTACAGTATAAGAAACAATTAAGACTTTTTCGATTAATTTGCTATCGATATATTTTGAATTTTTTCATCACGAATGATTTGGCAAACAGTGTTGCCAGTAACCCATACCAATTTTTTTTTTTTTTTCATTTCTTCTAAAGTAATCAAAGATTAAACCATCGTCAGTTCGGATTAATCCGGCAGTGTCATTGAAATCCGAATTCCGAACGGAACCGGATCGATCCAGATCAATAAGTTCCATAGTTTATACCGGTCGTGTAAAATTGTAATATAGCGCGGAAATACTATATTTCAAAATAATATATATATGGATATATAATAAAAAAAACCATTTTGAAAATTATCGCTCGAAGCCGATTTTGAAAACGGACGGGCGCGTGCGTATTCATATTAATGTGCAATTACGTTAATTTGCGTTTAATATGGTGTATTACTCCGGTACGATTTGTTTTGCATGTTGTTTGGATGTGGATCGCTGGACCGTGAAAAAAAAAAATAAAATAAAAACCATAAATAATACGCACGTATTATATTATACATTTTATTCCCGTCCGCACGATTTTTACTCGAAAACCCGCGCAACGTCGTCGTCGCTACACACGCGTTACGATGTTATTATAATATATTCTGTGTGCACCCTGGGTACATTACAATATTATGATGAGAGAAGACTTAATTATTATTGTACATCGTTTGTATATTATATATTATACTATAATACTGTACTCGGTCGTACGCACACACGAACTCGCACGTAACGTCTAGAGAAAACAACCAGAACGATCGGTTAATTATTGTACATAATATGAAGACGTACGAGCAGCGCTGCGCAGCGTCTATGAAAATCGCCCGTACCCACCTGTAATAATGTAATAATTTTTACATAATATAATAATTATACGAACGGACGTTAGACTAAAAAAAAAAAATAAAAAATTATAATAATGAATAATTTATAAAATTAATATTTATAGCCGTTATTGGATTTTCCGGAAAGCGTATTCTGGTACTCACCTTTATGTGTATGCCGTACGAAATAACTATATCTCAATCAATATTTTTAACTATCATACGTCATCGTCGTCGCGGTTATGCACATTATATTATTCATGATTATTTTACAAACGAGGTCGGTGTGCACGTTAACGAGGTTAAAAAAATAAAAAAAAATAGTAAACACACACAGTGAATATTCTCTCACCTTTTTAAAGCTTTTAAAACCGTTGATTTATTTTTTTATCAATTTAACACTGGTTCGATTCCGAGTATACCGAGAAATGTATTAGTTCTAAAAAAGAACCGACATACTTCGCACGTAGGTGCAGCCACTCTTGTAGGTGGACATTTGTGAAGGTTGGATAAAGACGGGAATTTAATGTTCATGTCTGTAAGCAACGATGAACCATTGCTAACGAAAAAAGATTCCGAGAGGAGTTGACAGTGTTTCTTCGTCAGCAATATTGGTTTCATATTACGGTGAAATACTTACATATGTAGTAAAATTTTTTTTTTTTTTTTTTTTATAATATTTGTTTAATATTGAACCTATTCTCTCGTTCTTTTATTATGTATTATTATATTTTTAAACTAATACGTACATTTCGTACATTTTCCCGTTTTCCTTCCGGTTTTTTTTTTTCGGTTTTTCTACTACGCTGAGAAAACTCCTGAAGAAATCAAAAAATTGATTTTGTTAAAGTACTTTTTTAGTCAAATTTCTTTTCAAAAAAAGTGCTAAACTTGTAAATCTGAGCAATGTTTCTGGTAGAAAAGTTGTTTACAGATAAAAAAAAAATAAAAATAAACATCAATGTAAAACTATAAGCTTCTTCGCATTGATTCAGTTTTGTTTGTTTTTCCTCTCATAGTTTTCTTAACACTAGGAGAAAAAGGGAAAACGCCCGTCATAACCGTTTCTGTTATTTTCATTTTTGTTAGAAATAATCGTAGCGATTTGACATTTTTACCAAATACCTATACTAGACCTTTTTAGATGTAATACGACTATATCGTATTTTGAGTTATTTCCGAGGTTTTTTATTCGGGGTGTATTTAGTTTGCATTTAGTTTTATTTTGTTGTTAAAATTGTTTAAGCTTAGAAAAAATGCTCGATAATTCAACACGAGTTAGGTACATCATAATTCATAATAAATGGCAAAAAGAAGTTAAGCAAAACGTAGTAATAATTTCAAGACCATGAGCGCAGAGCAATAGTTGTATGCTATGACACGTGCAATTTTTTTTTTAAATCATAAAATAAATATTTTCCGGCGCTTACATATGGTAACTCTGGGGTAAAACCTAACGGGATACATCAAAATTAACGTATTCGGGAATCGTACATTACCATAAAAAGGTTTACAGACAAGTCTGCGACGATATATTATGTCAGTCTCCTAATAATTCCTAAAGGACAACCAACAGTAATTATAAACGTTTGTTACCCCTACGCGGCGAACCCACTGATCGGACTGAGCTGAAACTTTACACGCATATGTATGCCTAGACTGAAGACGATTTATAGACTACGTGTTTTTTTTTTTCGAAATCCTACCTCACGGAGGGTCTCGCGGTAGGGTTGTTGGTATTTTCGAACCCACGGACCTTGACGGTACGGGTAAAATGGAAAAAAAAAAAAATTGAAAACGAACAAAACACAACAATAGAGCCCGTTGTAATGGGAGCCGGTTGAAACGTCTAATTAAATCACGACTATTGCAACGACGAAACGTTGTAATAGTTGTCGCGAGGAAATCGGTTACTATTTAATTCACCGTTGTCGGGCCGTACATTATTTTTTGGCAGAACATCCGATGTTATTGTAAAATTCGATTTATAATAATTATATTCGTCCGAAATCTAAAGATTCCGTTTCAAACCCCGAGTATCGTGGTCTCGTTGACGATTGTATTTGTGTTAAATGCTACCGGCAGTCGTGTATAGTTTCGCGACGGTTGCACGACTGTGTTTCGCATTTATTTACTCGATTCGTATGCCGAGTCAATTGTGTAACATTGTTCAAATAAACTTTTAACTTGACTCGACCAAGTTGATTTATCGTTAGATCGCTCGGCCTCGAAATATGTCGACTGTTTATTTATTTTTTTTATTACGTTTTGGTATAATGGTAATAATCGCACGTGTAAATAGCAATAATTTTTTTTTTTTATTATTTATTATTATTATTATTTTTTTTTTTTTGATACAATCGCACGGACGTTATTTGTCTAAAACGATCGATTATATTACAATAAATCGCGCGCGGTATAAATCCCCGGAACAAATATAGATGGATATCCGTCAAAATGTTTAAAACGCGAATACATTTTATTTAGATTTTTTTTTTTTTTTTTTAATTTTTTTTTCGG